CTTTCTTTTGGTTTTTTCGGGCTAATTTCGCCAGGTTAACCGGGTTGAGTGAAGTAGACAAACGAAAATTTTTCTTTTTGAGCCGAACTCAGAAGTTTATAATCAGGCTTTAAGCAATCCTCCAAATAAAGATAATCGGCGAATAATTTTATTACTCTATCTTTAACTTTGTTTTCGATTTCTTGGTAACTTTTACCCCTAGTGTTTTTCAGATTGAAAAGAATTACCGGATACTGGCCTTGTTCTTCCATTGATTCTTTGTCTACACTGATTTCCAAAGAAAGTAAATTTTTTTCTTTTACGCCAGTTTTTTATCTTGCCGCCGAAAAAAAGTTGGGGGTTGTTTTTTTTTTTCGGGAGATAATTGTCGTCCTTCCGAGTCAACTTCCAATTCAAAAAAGTATTTCAGCATACTCAGATTTAGGCTTTTACCTCAGCGTCTAGGACGGGTAATGAGCAATATTGAAGGAGGTTCGAGAACAGTTTTAATTAGTAGACTTTTATCTACCAAGATATCGCTTCTTAGTCGAAATTTTTTAAAGTCGTCGATGCTGGTTTCTATCCGAGGATAGGTGTTCGATTTATTTAATTCTAGTTGATTCATAAGTTAAATATTATTTTTCAAACTTCAATTGGGATTTCATTCAGAAGGCAACTTCATAAGATGGTAGATAGGAAAGCGATGCTTTACTTTATCACACTTTTCACAGAGCCAACGATTGTTTTGGAAAGCCCAATGAGTAACCTGGATACATTCCATAACTCCTGAACTAAGAAGACAACAGGGAGTATAACGTAACGACTCTTTAAATGCACTTTGATAATTGGCGGCCATTCCCAGTCAAAAATATTTTAATTCACAGCAAACAAATTGCCCTTCTTTCGCCCTTTCTTGGAGTTTTTCTTTACTGGTTGAAATCTGGTTTTGACTTTCGGTCCAGTCCTTTTCTAGTACGTTCATTTTAGTTATTATTAATAATAATACTTATACTATTTTAATTCAAAATTTCTTTCTCTTTCATATCCTTCATATTGTACTTTTGACTCTGGGCCTCGCAAAACCAAAGCCAATTTAAAGATTTTTTCACTTGGGAAATTTTGTTTCATTTGTTTCTCATAAGCTTCTTTCTTAATTTGTTTGAGAATGTTTTTGGCAACCAAATCTAGGGTTTCGTCTTTATCACAAATTTTATGCCCCAAAATAAAAGCATGGTTAGGACTACTCTTTTTGGGGATTAACAGTCAAGTACTCTTATTTTCATTGGAACTAATTAGATAAACCTCACCCAGAGCAAGTTTTAAACTCAGCAGAAAGCCATTATAGAACAACTCGGCTAGTTCTGGGGAGGCAGTGTGAAAAAATCCCCCAGTTTTGGTTCAAAATTCTTTTAACCGTTCCACAAACTCAGAAAGCTTTTCCTTATAGAGTGTGTGGACCAAAAGAGCAATAGCACTGGGCCCATTCTCTGTTTTTTTTTTCAAGTTACCCAATCAGTTAATTTATCCCGATAAAAAGTTCTAATTTCCTGGTTAGGAATACTTAATTCATAATATTGATCATCAATCGGTCGAGCATTTAAATAGCCAGTAAAAACCAATAAACTATAAAAAACCACTTCATCCTCCCGAATTTTATCCAAAGCTACTTGATTAACTAAATGCTTAATTATACCCTTTCCATTCAAAAGAGTTTGTAAATCTTTTTGCAAGTTGTCGGAATGCAGTATGGGATCAATTAAACCAGTGCCGCCACTATCTAATCAGTAAGTATCAATTCCCCGCTGGCGAGACAAACTGAGTACTATTGACCAAGGATTATAAATGATTTGTCCTCCGTGAGTATAACCTTTATATCATTCTCTAATTTTTTGTGGTTCTGTTTCGGGATTAACTTGGTTTAAGAGTTCGTCTAATTCGTTGGGTAAAAAGCCGTAATATTCACTCAAATTAGGATTTAAGAGATTATACTCGGTCAGATTATCAAGTTTAGCGTATATGTCGGGCTTAGTTCGTAGAATTCCCGTTAATATTCCCTTTTCTAAGTAAGGATTGTTTTGGAAAGTTATTTGTATTATGTCCTGTAAAAGCTTCAGTACTTTTTTGAATCAGTTCGAGGAAAAATCTTCCTTGTGACGATGATTAATTATGGAGTCTTGTTCATCAATCAAAATAAAGACTTTTTGGTTAAAGTGTTTGTAAAGCAATTTGCTTAGAAGGCGTAAACCATTTTTTATTTGTTCTAAACTTAGTTTTTCAGGGCGGAGATAGTTTTGGAATAATTGTTTATCTTCGGAACTCAATCGAACACTTTTGGTTAAGTAACGATAATCTTCGAAGGCTTCCCGAATAACTCGGTTAGCTAAACTATCTTCGATTTCTTGATAGTCATCACCGGAAGAAGCCCTTCAAAAATTAGTCGAGATTACCGGATACTGTCCGAATTTTTCCATCGAATTCTGATCGAAACTAATCTTCAAAGGCTTAAGATTTTTTGGTCCCCCATAACCACCTTTTACTATACCACCTCCAAAAAATTTGTAATTCAGACTTTGTTCGCGAGTTAAGGGGTGGCCGTTTTCGTCCACCTCAATTTCCAAAAAGGTTTTTAGCATGCTTAAGTTTAAACTTTTCCCTCACCTGCGAGGTCGAGTAATGAGCAATACTTGGGCTGGGCTTTCCAAAACCGCTTTAATCAAGAGAGTTTTATCAACTAAAACATCACCTTCTTCTCTAAATTGGGGAAAGAACTCATAACCAATTGGTATTCTTAATTTTGCTTTATTTTCTCTCATATTTTTTCCTGCCTGACAAGTCTGATTCCCCCAAATACAATTCAGCCTGTTGTCTAGCAATATACTTATTAACCTCAGCTTCTCATTTGTCCTCGTCTCATTCGGGATAACCCTCTTGATCTAG